GAGCCAGATGCAACTCAAAGTGGAAAACAAACTGGAGCTGCACGTTTTACACTGTCCCCACAGCATAACCTGGACAAGTGAGATTATGCACTGTGCCAGTCCTGTGTTTTTATTAGAATTACAAGATAAACAGATCTGATCAGTAGTAACAGTAACGTGCAAGTTCATACGTTACAGCAAGTTGGCTCTTACTGGCCACAAAATGTACGTGAGCCCGTTTGCGTTTCTGAAAGGTTAACGGCAAAACCTGACAGTTTCCAAGTTCTGGATGAATGTGCTGCTTTTATTGTCTTGTGGGATGATGTGCCATCAGATCCCTGTGATGGCAGTCAAACAAAGCGCTGCCTTTAGACATTTGCTCCTGCAGCAGTGGAGCTCAGCTCAGATGAACTTTGTCAGATACTGTATGAGGGACTGACTCAGAACTGCCTCCCAGCAGGATGGAAGATCAGAATAATTAAGAGATCTAATATCACACTCTATCTTCATAGCCCCTCAAGAACTCATTTGTGACGAGAAAGCATAAAGACCTATCTCACTGTTAAAAATACTGAGAGAGCAGTCTGCTATGATTCATGACATGAGTTCCCGTTTCTGATGGTCATCAGTGATCAGTGGTGAAATGGATATGGATGACAGCATAAAAGCCTTTCCTTGTAATTTTGCAGCTGGGTCAACTGTGTGTCTTCTACATGCTTCTCACAAATAAATAATTTGTTTCCAGAAGTGGAAAACAGCACAGTTATTGTGCTAAACATGTCACTGCATGCTGCGACAGTTCTCCCTCTAGGTTGGCCAGCAGAGCAGGATGCGACTCGCCATGGTCTGCTGGTGCAGAGGCAGGCTGAGACAAATAATACAGCTCCCTGTTTGGAAGGCATTATCCCTTCAGATGTGTGAGGCTATTTGTGCTGAGTGTGGGTGTGTGTAATGAGTATGGCCATACCAATGTGCCAATTAGTTTGGTACTCAGGAACTCATACATGCATGCCTGCCTCACCACTTGTTGGGAATGAAGTCGCGTTGTGGACAGAAATAATTGCAGCAGTCATTTTGACGGCTTGAATGATTGTTAGGCCTGCTGCCAGGTTTATTAAAGTAGTTAGTGTTTTCTGATCATTTTAATATCAGGATGGAAATGCTCCAAACAACCTTTTTAACAGGAGACACTTAAATTGTTGATTAAAACCAAGGATAATTAAAGTTAAAGGTACAACTTCCCACAGACCGCAGTAAATACGTCCTGAAACAAAATGCATCACATCATGTGGGAGGTTGTGCGATGACACTACAGTAAGTGGCCAGTAATTGATGTTTAATCAAAAGCAGTGATCAGTCTGAAATATAGGCAAACCAGTTTGAGTTTAAAATGAACCAGATCAACAATTACTGAATTAAACAACATTTAAATTTGAACAGAAAACACATTAGAAGCTGATGATGAGTTTTAATGGATTCAATTAGCAACATTACTCTTAGTTCTTCTGCAGCCCTCAGGTTTGATATGTGTTTTAATAGCCTTGTCTGCAAAGGACAGCAGGGAGATAAAGTGGAATTCAATCTCCACACACCTCTGCACCCTTTGGCAAATGGCTGCGTTCAGCAACACTATCATTACACATATTACACGAAAACTGGAGAGTAGTGGACCTTATCATGTCATGTTTGCCAGATAGCAATAGCTAACAAGACACAAATGTTGGGCTGGAAGGGAGAAATTGTCTCAAATGAAAACGTCAAATAAACCAGTGTTTTCTTCAGTTCGCACTGCGGTCAGTGCAGTTGTTTTCTTTTGCCATAAACAGGTGCATCGTTGAGAGAGGCCTGCAGAGAATTGAGCAATTTATTAGTCATTTTAAAGGTAATGAGTAGTCTGCTGGACTTTGATTGAATTCTTGTTTATTACACAGACTCAGGCTGTTCTATCCTGAATTGCACACTCATCTCAGGGGAAACAAGCATTCCTAATCTGAGAAGTCCTGTATTTAAACAGCTTCAGTGGGTATTTTTCATTTGTCAGGCTCCCAGGCCATTATATTTGCCTCCATTTTTATAAGATGGCAATTAATCTAATTAGTAATCAGTCATCCGTTGGACCTCCCGCCTCCTCTTTGCTAATGGAGGATATGACAGGCCTGGATCTTGCATTATTAATACTTCCATTCCTGGAGCCCAGGGCCCCACAGCACAGCAGCCAGGGGCCATTGATCACTACCACAACCCAGTGAGAGCTGTAAGCCCTACTGGGAAATATCCAGAGCAGTGGGAGTGGAGATGAGAATGTGGTCTCTCAGTTTGTGTGGGGTGAGTCTCTTTGGGGGTGGATTTTGTGATAATTTTATTAAAGGAATGATTTTGCCAACTTTGCCCAGGGGAGGTCGAATAGATGCAACAATCCTAAAAGTCAGATGTTGGCTTGGTGGTACATGGGGTCTGCAGGGGAGATGAGGGATTGTGTGAGTGATGTTAATGAGAATGCTGTACTCTGGAAAGCTCATTTGGGTAATGGGGCTCACCTCAGAACTATTATGGCAGGATAAGGGGGCCTCTCTGCGGGACTATTTCTGGAAAATGAAATTAGAAATTATAGGATGCCACTAATAGTGGGGCACCATGATCGCAGTGTGGCAATGAAACAATCACAGCAACATTATCCTTCATCTCACTTGCATTATATGAACACCCAGTTTAATAGCCCCAGCTCTGAAGTTGCAGAGCCTGATAACAATCCCCCCAGCTGATCTCATTCGCTGAAGTCGATATTGGAACGTGCTCTGTTCCAGCTGCACAAAGCAACAAAACCTTTTTGCTCATGGGTCATTATGCTTCCTCGCTACCCTCCACATCTAACAGACAGACACTAGATCATCCTGTCTCCTCTTTGAATGAATCTGCTGATCCTAATTTATCTCACCTCGAAGCCAGAGGCTGTTAATCATGTTTGTTATGCAGGCTGCATGTTGTTTTTGAGGACATGCTGTCAAGTTCATGGAGGTTAAGACTGGGCCATAATTCAGCAGCAACCTTTACTGGAGTTTGTAGATTAATCAAGAAAATAATCAGCAGATAAACTGATAATGAAAATAATGGTTAGATGCAGCTGTACACATATAGACAGGTGGCAAACATCTTACTACACTTGATGTTGTTTAATTTGTCACCAATCTTGATATGTGTATTTGTGAATAAACATTTTTATTAAATGCTGTTTCTAGCTGACCTCCCAGTCCGGTGGATGGTGATGAAGGCAAGCAGCTGTGTCCACATTTGTGCACACTGTGATGCATGTTTGGTTGTGTGTAATGGAGTTTAGTAACTTTTAAATATATATTCAGAGGTGACATCACTCTCCTTGCTCCACCAGGCCACTTCCCATGACTAAGACCTGGTGTGATTTGGCACAGTGGCCACAGCCTTCCCAGTAACCAGCATTTGCATTCTGACTTTTAGCAGAATGCAAAGCTGCATCTGTCTGTACAACACACAGGTTAAGTCACCACAAGCCAGCATGCCAAAGCTCTCCCACCGCACTGCTTAATTTGCAGAAGGCTGGGGTTTTAAGTATTTACAGGCCTTCAGGGGCTGTCTGACGCCATGATGGGAGTCAGCAGTGGTGTTGAGCTCACAACAGCTGCAGTCAGCTGCCTCGTTCATGAGGGACTGGGAAAGCAATGCTGCTCGTCTGCTGTGCGAGTGAGTCAGTGAGCTGAGCATGCTGTGGCTGAGGATGTGAGGATTCACTCTGCAGTCGCAATCTTCATCCCCCTCCTGCATTAAAGCGTCATGTGGGTGTAGATGTATGTGTGCAGGTTAAACAGTGCGCCTGTTTAATAGGAGGTAAGCTTGGTTAGAGGAAATCCATGGACAAGCTGCCATTAGTCACTGCTGGTCATTAGAGCTGACCTGCAAGTGTGGGGTGCTGAACTTGGATTAGCAGGAAATGTATCTGTCATGAATCGTCTTCAGTGTGATTGTGTTTTTCTGTGGGGAGGCTGAGTAAAGGATGACAGTACAGTTGGTGAGGTGAGCTAATGACAGAGTAGCGCTGCCTTAAAACCAGCTGTGCTCCATGAGTAAGACTCCTGAGAGCAGGGACGAGCTCCAGACGAATGAAGAAAGTTTCAGCGTTCTGAAAAGTCCAAAGTGTAATTTTCCTTTAATGTACTTTAAATGTGTAAAGTGTAAAGCAAGCTTCTTCTGAACATGAAACAAAAAGCTTCCATAAAACCTGAGAAGCTTGTACTGTAATGTTACACGGGTACTACCGGGGTAACCAGGGTGGCTATTTACAGTGTCAGCAGGGTCACCTCTACTCACCTGTGCTATTCTACCATGCTGCTTTAGTCTGAGTACTGTTTTGCATTGCAGACATCTCGAGTTAAATCAGCCCCACTACTCTGTGCAATATTCTCTTCCATATTGCCATATTGTTGTGAAAACAAGTTTTGGATGCCCACGCAGTTTATCATCAGCGTAGGCATGTTACACCACATGGTACATTTGTCTACTGTTGGATAGCTCGCACTTGGTATATAGACACAGAGAGTGGGCGGAGGTTTGGAACTGAGTAATCATAAACTCACGGCTTGTCTGTGTTTGTTGTCAGTATACATACTTTGATATCGAGTTCGTATACACTTTAATCATAAGGGGGGAAAAACAATTAAAGCATCATCCGGCAGTCTTCCAGGACCATAAAGCTTCTAGGCTCTTTTCTTGTCGACGCCATGTTGTGCCTGTGAACCAGCACAACTTAGCACATCTGGCTCCATTTAGGGCTCCTCTGCTTGTGTTAGCCATGGTGTTATGACAGCAGAGTGACTGAGGAGATTACACTAAGAGGACATGGAGCCCGTCTCCACGGGGGCTCTGGGTCAGTGGCCCCGTTAAAACGAAATCGACAGACCCCTGAGGTTTTTCAGCTCGGTGTCTGCAGCGCAGCTGGTCCTCTTGTGTTGTTGCCCATTCTCATGTTTTTTTTTTTTCTGTTCTTCTCACAGGAAGTTTGTGGAAGACTGAACATTCTTAGAGGAAGAGCCTCCAAGGGGGTTTTAACCCCCTGACGCCCCATCTACAAATTCCTGCTTCCTACAGCCCCCTGCTGAGGTCATTTTCTGAGAGGAGCAAGAGGAGCTGAAGGTCTGTGGGCTCGTTGGACGTGACTAAACGTATCTATAAGTTCATTTATGATCACAAAACATTTTAGTTTGTATTCATGCTAGGGCTGCACAATAAAATTGCTTTGTGAGTGTGATTTAGATCCCTGTGTGATCTCAGTCTCACGTAACAATGACTCTGCTGTGTTTGCATTAGCACAGAGATCCCTCGCACAGAGTTCTAAATCATGCTCACAATTTATCATGCAGCCCTAATTCATGCCTACAGCGCACACTTAGAAACTGCAGAAAATGAATCCGTTATGTGTGTTTATCACTGATTTTAAACTCTTTAACAGTGCTTAAAGTTGGGTTGTAATGTTGTCAAAACATTCAGGCACAGCCATTCCACACAGTCATGTGGATTGTTAAGGTGTGTGAAGGAAATAATAACATATTTGTGGCCTGTAATTTCAAGTGTGCACCCTGTGAGGCTCAGGAGAGAAAACTGTCTGCCAGTTAATGGCCTTCCCCTGTCACTCCCATACCTGATTGTATTAGCCAGTGCAGCTTGTGATTTTGAAGTGTTTTTCCAAAATGGCAACAAGACTCTGGAGAGCTTTCAATCACAGCTCGGCCTCACACGCCCAGGCGGACAAATAAGTAGAAATACTTTGTCCCACAAACACATTGGGGTCTTTTTTTTCAGGCTAGCCAGGGGCTTTGTTCACATGAGCTCTTATTTGCAGCAACTTGACAGTGCAAATGCTCACGTTAGGCTATCGCTTTATTCGTGCTCCTTTCAAAGCGCCACTGTTGTGCTGTGATCCCTCTTTTGGCCGTGCATTTGCGTGTGACATGGCACTATTGAGTATTATATGTCAGTCAAAGTGAATAAAAGGCCCACCAGTTTTGCATCCCTCTTTGCTGACAGCAGGACAACAATATGTGATGGTTAGGTAGGAAGGTTCAGTATATAGAAACAAGGTGTTGAACTGGATCACTGGCATCATGGTGGCACAAGAGCCACGGTGTGGACTGCCACGTCGTTATTGATGACACAAAGACGTATCAAAGGGGGTGAAATGGGACAGAACAGCAGCTGTTGCGGGTGCACAGGCGTGAAATATGATCAAACCACTGAGTTGAATAGAGGTTTTATCCTGCCAAGAATGTGAGAGAGACGAAGACAGAGAGACTGAGTGGCATTGCTCTCATGTCTTGTCACCCACTCACTTGACAATGTATTCACTGTGTCCTTCCCACTGTAAGTAAAGCATAGTTGGATGCATAGTTTGGATCTATGAACATTTGTTCATAACCAACATTCTTTACATGGAAGAGTAAAAAATGATCTTTGTGTACCAAACCAAAACATCAGAAAGCTCTTGGCACATCCCGCCCTCCGTCTCCGTTTGTACACTTTCATAGGCAAATGCATGAAGTTAAACTCTCAGACCTGCAGGATGTGATTGTCATTTACGAAATACATTTTGCTAATTTTATCTGTTATTTTTCAGCTTTTTGAAATAACACGTTCACCCTGTTGTACCTCTTGGCAGGAACCTAGTTTTAACACCTGTCTTTTCAGTGGCTAAATTAGGAGATATTCCTCTAAGTCAGTGCCACACTGAGAATGCATCTGTTTGTTTGTATCATTTTAGGATTAAGTTAAGATACCTTTTTTTTGTTGTTGTTGTACTTTTGCCTTTGCATAAAGGCAGGACAGATTGGCAGAGAGAGCAGACGTGACAAAGGTATGTGGTTTGAACCTGAGCCAGCTGAGTCACCAGGATGTCTCCTGTGTATATATCTTGTCTTTGCCCTCCGATAAACTCCCGTTCACCTCTCTCACTGTTCGCCCCCAGGGCTGCAGTCTTTGTCAGCGCCCTTATTTTCTCCGTCTTTCCTTCTCTTCCTCCTGTTCTTCCCTGAGTTGTACTCCTGCTCAATGTTAAACGAGGGCATGGCCACACTTGGATGTACTGTGACAAATAGGCACTGAGGAGGCAGATGGTGCTGGGGGAGGAGACCGGTGGTCTCGCCATTTGCTGCAGCGACATGAATTGATCTCTGTGCCGCAGAGCAACCACACATGCACCCGTTTGTGTAATCCTGACTCTGGGTACCCCGTACGCACACCCACATACCCCAGTGAACTCTGACATGCATGCCACCTTACACCAGCCTTCAGTCCCCATTAGTATCACTGATGTGTACAGCGGAGGTACTCGCTCGCTGTCAGAGGTTCTCTGCTCAGCTCCCCTCAAAGAGGCGAAGGGATGCTGAGAGATTTTGACAGAGACAGCTCAGACTAATGGAAGGCTGGTGAGACTCTGGGAGCTGGAACACAGCCTACTATAGAGACACATAAAGTCAATGATGTACTATACATGTAAGCAGGCTGCTGTCTTAACCATGTTTACCCATGAGGCTTTGGTACAGCTTGACTAAAATCCCCATGGGTGTTTTTCATCCTAACATGGCTTCTGATAAGATTGTAGTTTGTCTGACGGGGATGGCATTGCTCATTATGCTGCGTTCCAGAGATGTGAAAATATTCCCCAGTTGGCGTTTCTTTACAGCAGCGCTTGGCCAGGGGGGTTATAAATTCCTCCATCTTAGCTTTACGGGGAGTGGTATCTTAGCTCACAGGAGGGGAACAATTAAAAATGAAGTGAACTTCACTTGCTAAAATTGGCTCTTTTGCTCCTTTGGCAGAAAGCATCACAGGTCGCGTTGACAGACGTGAGCTTGCTGAAATGTGTCTTCATGCAGTTAGGATTAAAATACCAACACAAAACAGTAGATTGTCTTACAACAATGGCAACAAGCTTCACTGGATGTTTTAGAGATTTTTGTCTTTGGTCTGAGTGACATGTGGAACAGCCATAGTGAAAGACTATACTGACCTGCGTTACATTGAACTGTACCAGGCAGATTAGCAAGTCAGTGTCCCAGCAGCTGGACTTTACTTTCTCTTCTCATATGTTTTTATAAAAAGTGGTTGAAGCCAAGCTTGTGAGGTTTGGCCCCAGTATGTATGAACATGTGATGGCTGCCACCACCCGTGCTGGAGCGTTCAAAACAAAATCAACATGCAACCAAAAGGTTACTGGTGACCCTTCCAGTCATGTGTAATTGGTATGTTTTTGGATGTCAGGCCATGTTAGCTTCTGTTTGCAGATGATCAAATAACACTAGCAAGTGAACAGCACCAGCTCTTTTATAGAGTAAAAATGTGAAAACCAGTCTGTTCACATTATGGCTTCAAATTGAGTTGACCATAGAAAATACAGGTTTTCAAATGAAGGTGGTTTGTTAATGGATTTGATTTTCCTTTCATTAAAAACCCGCTTTTGCTCTGTAGGCGGGAGGATGGGATAATTGCTGGCTTTAGCTCTCCTCACCTTGAACATGACAGGATAACTTTCCCACGGTTGCTTAATATTCTGTGAACCTGCGAGCCCTAAGCAGCACATATTGATCAGTAGATGTGATGCATTCCCTTCCTTATAGGCATCTGCTCAGTCTTTTGAGTAGGAGTTGCTCCCTCGGCATCTCAGGCCATCAGAGAAAACAAAAGATACATGAAGAAAACTAAGAACACTCAGGATTTTTCTCTCAACCAACAAAAAGAATCTTGTTATTGATCACCATTCGAGCTGGTATTCAACAGTGATCTGACGAGCTTTATAACTTGAGTGAACAGTATTGACTTTCCTCTAAAAGTTGCTTCTCAGACTAATATTTAAACTTGAAAGAAACTTTTTGCTGACTTTCATGTTTATCACCGGCTAATAATCCTCACATGGGAAAACTCAAACACTGCAACTTTTAGGGGTGAGGTACACTGACCGGTTTAGCATAAAAAGTACAATCTTACACAGCATGTAATGTTTATGAGATGGTCACACACTATTAGACGCTCTGAGATGCTGGACAGGAGCCATTTTGTAGGAGAACACGTACAGATGCAATCACGTGTGCTTGCATCAAGCACTGACAGCACGCTGTGAGGAGGAAAACAGCCCTCCATTTGTGATAACAGCTCTTCCACTGTCAGCACAACCTGCAGACCTTGTGGCCCTAAACCAGGTCTGGTGTTCACATCTGCCATATTCACAGAGAACAAAAACCTCCCAGCCCACAGAGTGCAAAAACAAACCTGCAGCAGAGTTTAAATAAATCATCTCCTGGTAATCGTGAAAGAAATCTCTTTTCGAGTGTAACTGCTTCTACAATGTCAGCAAACATGGCTGAGCCCTGCTGCACACCAGTCAGCCTGAACATCAGTGTCAGGAGCAGGATTCAGGTGTTGGGGATGTGTGCTTTACTTTAACATAATCCTCTCATCCCTGAGCAAATGCCTGTGCTCAGGTTTGGTCTGGTCTGCGGCTCCCTGGTGGTTCGTGAAGGCATTGCAGGAGGTCCCTGACTATGTATTTAATAATGTCGTTTCCTTATAGGAATCACAGTTTATTTTATTTTATTACACAGTTATATTAGATGTTTTGTATTATATTAGTTGTTGTCATGGTAAATAATCAAATTCATGCAATTATACATATTATACAAATTTAGAAAAGCCGAGATGACTTTCAGGATTAAAACTGTCCCCATTCCGTCTATCCACTATACACCAGTGCTTCTCAGGTTGCTTAGTCAAAATGGTGGTTCCTGGGTCACAGTCAGTTGAAAACCTCTTGACTAGCCCTATTTCCACTGTAGTCTGAACCAGATGTCTGAATGTACTTAGAGTTTTAGTTGATAATTATTTGCTTAACAGTGTGTTAGGTTTGTCTTTAGCAGGGTTTGTCCTGAATCTGGTTGAGCACAGTAAAAGGGGACAATCTTGCTGAATGGCACAAGTCCTCTTTTCCAAACAGAGTGTGGAGCTTGTGTTGCAAACGGTGTCAGGAGCCAGCCAGCTCAAACAGATCAGAAAGCCACACAGCTATGAACTGAACTTCACGTTGTTGTTTTTTGTTGTTTGTTTTATGCAAGGCAGCAATAGATGCAGCCAACAGACATAGCTGCAGT